CAAACTTCTGCCATATAAAATTCACCGGGCCGATTGTTCCACTGGCAGAGTGAAACGTGAAAGCAAAGACAGCTGGCGAGGTTCGCGAGACTTGCCTCGTCCTCCTAGCTTCCGGCGTTGCCTTCGATCAACGACGATCGCCAGGGAACATTAGTCGCGATCGTCGCGACGTTAGCACCGGTGGCGCGCATCGAGCGTTCGTGGTCGATCGTGCTCGAGGCCAGAGGCGGGTCCCGGCATATTTATATTTCAGAATTTTCATTGTGAATCGGTTTCTGGGCCACGGGGATGGTGACGGCGGTCGACGTGTACAGTCCGCCACTCTATTGAAAACCGGCCGTGGACGGCCGTGAGTAGTACTGTCGTTCGATAAACGGCGTCTTTCCCGGAGCTTTCGGTTCAAAGATAAGAATCTCGGATTCGAGGTCAGCCAAGCAGTCCTCGAGGCCTCCTTTGGCCATCGGCAAATTTCGAAAGGGCGCTCGACCTCGTACGAGGTGGCAACCGGGCTGCTGAGAACGGTCGGGGGTGGATACCACCCTGTGTGTGTGTGTTTGTTTGCGTGTGTGTGTGTGTGTGTGTATTACACGTTCAACCTGTCCATCTATAAACGAGAATGGTGTGTGCACGACATTTCGGTTATGGACAATATCTAATATCTAATATAAGAGAGGGGGGGATGGCTCTGTATCGCAAAGTAGACTTACTTCCTTTTGTTTTCATTTTTTCCTTGCTTTCTTCCTCTGAAAAACTCTAACACGGTCACATCGAGACACCCTCCTCTTCCTCCCCGGTTCCTCCGTGCGCAAAGACCAACTGAAAGCTGGTGCTCGATACGTTGCGGAAGGTCAAGCGCCCTCCGAGCCAGACAATGAAGCTCTTCTGCCCTCCTGGACTCGTGCACTCGTGTGTCCGGTCTCCGGTGTGCACTGTGAATTATTTCTTCGGGCATCTGGACTGCACTCCCAGCCCAGACTCGGGGAATTTATCGGATAGCGATTCTACGATGTGTATTGTGTGCCTCTCGTTTAATGGAAGTCGAGCCGGCTGGATGCTGCGAATTATTTTGGACATAATTTAATATCGTTCGACGTGTACTCTCTGGTATCAATTGGCCATCAGCGTGATTCATCGGAGAAACGTTGTTTTATCATTTGATCCTCGGCTGGGCGAAATTGAAAATAAATGTTGTAAGAGCAGTTAGCCGGGGCGATGGCGGGAACAATTAAAATTCAAGTCCTTTCGTCCGGCACTCCTCGTGGAAAACGACCCTCCGAGTCGTCATGCATTATTCGTTCGCGCGATAGTTCTCGAGCGATCATTCCCAACTTTCCTCTCTCTCCTCTCTCTCTCTCTCTCTCTCTCTCTCTCTCTCTCTCTCTCTCTCTCTCTCTCTCTCTCTCTCTCACCGCCTTCCTGAAAAATCAAACACTCATCGTTCGTATATTTATCAGCCGAAATGTTTCAAATACTTTCCTCTCCCCCTGAATCCTGTCGCTCTCGCATCGTTCGTGCGAAACTCGCAGATAAATCAAACGATCTTCAAGTCCTAGTCCGCCAAAGGATTAAACAACAAACGGACAAATCGTCGCAGGAGTGCATTCATCACTGTTGCACTGTTGCTTTGGCTTTTCGAGTCGTCTCGTCGTGTTTTTCGAAAGATAGAGAAGACCCAGCACCTTTGGAGCTTTGGGCCAGCTTGACAAATAAATCAACGAGCTCACACCAAGGAATAGAAGGAAACGAAAAAGCCGACTCCTTAGCCAAAGAAGCAACAACAGACCGAACAAAAGAAGCCAACATCCCAATCCCACACCAAGACCTACTAGCTTCAACGACTAAAGCGGAAAGAAAAGAATGGAACAGAATTTGGACTACGACAAATAGAACCAAAATACACGACATAGCACATCATTTCTACTAAAAAGATACCAAACAACAATATAAGCAGAAAAGAAAGGATAGCTATGACTGGACTTCGAATCGGACACTCCAAGATCACACACGAATACCTCCTAAACAAAACAGAACCACCTTTCTGCAACCAACACCTGCAAATCACCACCCAACACGAATGCTACATGAATGCAGAAAATACCGAAACATAAGAAGTAAATATTAAAATAGGATTAAACCAAAACACCGCTCTAACCTGCCAGAAACAACAAGAAAACGTTATCGGCTACCAGACCAGATATAGAAAAAATTCCAGCACGTCGCTAAAGACCTCGTAGTCGATGCGACTCTAAATCCCCATATATAAAAAAAAAAAAAAAAAATCAACGAGCTTCGCATCAAGCTACAATTTCAAATGCACTCCAGCTCTATTTCTAAAGAATATTTTTCACGAAAGACACGGTTGATACCGATTGTGAGACTGTTCACGTCGCTGAATACAGAGCATGCTTTTTGACTCTAAAATTATGCAACAGGAGCGGTTTCGTTTCATCAAAATTGTTGAAGAATATTATCGCGACGCGATCAAGTCTGTTTCAAAAATTAACAGGCAGTAGAAAGACCTGGAACTGCAAATTTTAAATGTCATCGCATATGCAGAGAAGTTTTTAAGTCAACTTCAGTATCTTCAAAATACTAAAATATTTTCATATTTTATATGTATCACACAGAGGTTTTTGTTTTCAATCAAAGAATTATTACAATTATTACATCGAGAGTATTTAAGATTGACGGGAAATATTTCCGATGGGAGACTTTAACAACTAGGCAATGGAATATTAAATGAACATTCGAATAACTGCCACCAAATTCTATTTAGCAGAACGTTTTAACAACATCCTACAAATGATTCGTAAACGTTTCATTCAACTCGACGATTTAATATACGTTTCATTACGTATTTTTTAATCGCCCGCGATATTCCGTCCCGTGCCATTTTATATTTGTTTTAGAGTGATGTATCGTTTCTTTTTTTCTATCGTTCCATTTGTTCGCGTAAAACACGAGAAACATTTTCATCGGTTTTTTTTTCTCCCTCGATAAGGATCCTCGTCGTGAATTTTATTGAAATTTATCGAATTTCGAAATACCCGTTCAGAGAGCGTATAGAAAATTTCGCATTTAAAAGCATCGAGGATGAGATCGTTACGTTTCACGGAGGAAGAAGATCCAACGGTATTTGTGAAATATTAAAATAGGATCCTTACATTATCGCACGTAATTTTGCAAGGAGATACTAGTATCGTTTTATACGTAGTGTCTATGTATTGTTATTCCCAGAAGCTTTTAAGTCTTTCGTTGCGCGGGGGAAATTTTCCACGAGTGTCGAAGAACGTCGAGGAAGGCACGTGCCCCCTCCCCCCTCCTTGCCTTAGAAAATAGAACGTTTAAATTCACGTTTCTGTAGCAATGTCTCTAGTTTATTACAACGTCGGACGGGGGTAAATGAACAACGCACGCTCTAGCTTGAGAGTGACGTATAAAAATTCCGAGCGAGTAGTTGAAATATCTCGAGATAGAGAAATCATATTAAAGAGAGAGAGAAATCATATTACAGAAGAGAGAGAGAGAGAGAGAGAGAGAGAACTTTTTGTCCAGCAATTTTGTTTGCGCGGAGGGAATGTTCGCGAATCGTCCTTCCTGGCGATAAGCTTCTTAAAAAAAGAAAGGGGAAACTCGTTCCGCGAGTCCGTTTTTCTGGGTCGCGTGGCGTGCTTTACGCGGAGGCAAACGTTTTTGGAACATCCTGTTATAATTTTCAGCCTTCTGATAAGCTTAAAACAGTGGCGCGCCTCGTCGTCGTCGTCGTCGTCGGCGGCGGCGGCCCTGCGAATCCTCTCTAACTTTCTTCCACATACAGGGTGATTCTATTCAATCTGTAAATGGATACATTTTAGATAATTAAAGTGTGTTACACGGGCTACACGAGTTTCGCAAGTTCATTAAAGTTTCGAACAATAGCAAATCGCGACGCGCACTCTTCGCGTCCCTTACCGATCGTATTTTTCGTGAAAATTTCGTCGGAGCTTGAATGAACTTTTACGATAATTAAATATATATATATATATAGAATTTTTATTTTATTTGTAATGTTTACAAATACGTTTAACAATTGGCAAGAGTATAATTCATTATGATTCATTATATTTTAAACTGCTAATTACGATATAAACTTGTCAAAAATTTCACAAAGTTAATAAATTCAGGAGATTCGAAAATGGTCAAAAATAAGGATACTACCTTTATGTATGTTTTGCAATTAACAAAAGTATAATTCATTGTATTTTAAGCAGTCGCTTGTTGTGATATAAATTTGCCAAAAATTTCACAAAGTTAACAAATTCAGGAGATTCGAAAACGATCAAAAATAAGGATACTACCTTTATATGTGTTTAACAATTAACAAAAGTATAATTCACTATATTTTAAGCTAGTCGCTAGTTATGATATAAATTTACCAAAAATTTTCACAAAGTCAACGAGTTTAACAGATTTGAAAATGGTCCGAAATAGTATACATTTAAATATGATACCTTAAATATGTTTAACAATTGATAAAAATATAATTCATTTTGAGTAGTCGCTAATTACAATATAAATTTATCAGAAACTTCACAAAGTTAACAAGCAGATTTGAAAATGGTCATAGAATACATTTAACAATTGACAAAAGTATGTAACTCATTATATTTTAAGCAGTTGTTAATCACGATATAAACTTACCAAAAATTTTCATAAAGTTAACAAATTCAGGAAATTTGAAAATGGTCAGAAATAATGATACCTTTGTATACGTTTTAACAATTGACAAAAATATAATTCGTTACACTTCAGGCAGCCGCTAATCACGATATAAACTTGCCAAAAATTTTCACAAAGTTAACAAATTCAGGAGATTCGAAAATGGTCAAAAATAAGGATACTACCTTTATATGTGTTTAACAATTATCAAAAGTATAATTCATTATATGTCAAGCAGTCGCTAGTTATGATATAAATTTGCCACAAATTTTCACAAAGTCAACAAGTTCTGGCCCGAAATAAATATATGAAATACCTTTGTACAGCGTAAAGTACGTATCTTTTGTACACGTTTCGTCTGCCATCCGACATTCTTTCTCTCCCCGGAGCGAGCTCGAGTGCTTAATTCATTTGCTTGCTCCTTCGTCCACCGATCCGCTAGTGTACCTCCTCGCCACAATGCAAATCTCTGCTCGTCGACTAATGAATTATTTAAGCGCCCATGCCTCTCTTTCTCGCGTTTGCGTTCCTTATGATGCACGGCCTCGTACACACGCATCTCTTCAGAAGAAATCACAGTGTGTGTGTGTGTGTATGTGTTTGTGGTTCGTGGTCTTTTGCCTCGTTCGTCGAACCGTACGATCTCTCTCTCTCTCTCTCTCTCTCTTTGCTCGGAGATGCGCTCGTCTCGAAGAATTTCTATGGAAATTTTCTCCATCTAAAGTTGCCTGCGAGAAATGGTTCGTCGAACGTTGCTGATTTTCCGACGAGAGAACGACTTAGAATGGACGAAAATACGTCGAAAACACGCGCCAAAGCTTTGTCCGCGGCTCCGACTGTTTTCCTCGTGAATCGTCGCTGCAGTTTCTTTCTTCCTTTCTTTTTTTTTTTTTTTTTTGTTCGTTTTCGTTTTTTTCCTCCACGGAAAAATAAGGGAAGTTATTACGTCTCTTTGTTATCAGTTTGATCGACGAATTTATCGCGAGCAAGGAGTTCGATTCCAGCAGTTGGCTTTCTCGGGTTTGAAAAGGGTTGCTTTACGGGTTTCTTCTGGGATTCGTTCCGGGAAACGGTCACAATGAACAGCATGTGCGCCAAACGAATCGATAACTCGCGCCGCGATCGAGTGACACGTGCTCTCCCAGAAACTGCGCCTTCCATAAAGATCGAGTTTTTTTTCCCCTCCCCGATCATGTTTTCCCCGCCGCGTCTCTCGCCGCTCCTCTTTCTTCTAAATTGCTGTCTTAAACGCTCGTGTTATGTGTAACACGATGAGCCCCGCCACGCGGTTACGTAACAAACTGCGCTACACTGGTGGAAATATCTATTGCATTATGTGCATGCGATATCGTTGACGATCCAATTTACTTCGAGCAACTACGTTTCGTCAATTTTTCACGACTATTTGAAAAAGAAAACTACCAATGACAAAATGTCGCGATACATTCGACGTGTCGTTTGAAACGCGCAATCGTTGCACAGATATCTGAAAACAGCAGTTCTGGCGGCAATTTTTTCGAAAAAAGCGATAATCCATGATACTCTAACTTTCGTGAAACTGAAATTTCCACCTTGTCTTCCGCAGGGAGAATCTCGATTGAGTTTAAGATTTAATCGAAATAATAGGAAAAAAAAAAAAAAAATGATACGTCAGCTGTAAAGCAAAATGATAAATTAAACTCGTCTTTCGTTTTGCAAAGTAAATTTCTCCATTTGCCTCCTATCGTATCTGAAATGTGCTTTACTATGATAATTGTTACCCTCGATGAGCGTGCAGGGAGGACAAAGGATTTTCGTTAATAGATAGCGTCATTATCCTTTGAAAATTCCGTGAAACTCGACGTCGATCCTCGCCGAGGACAAACATGCAAATCGAAAGGAATCGGGATTCGACGAAAAAAAAAAAAATCCTTTTCCACGCCGTTAAAATCGCTAAGCTGCAAAAAAAAGAAAACAAAAGAATCTGTATGTTTAACGTGGAACGTGACCAATTAATTCTGACTCTTTTCTTTCCCTTTTGTACAGTTGCCATGGAATTGAGAACCGACATGCCGCGAAACATGAAAAGCGTCCGTCACAGAAGCTCGAAACCTCCTGGCCATTTTCCTTGTAAGTCCAAACAAAGTTACTTTGAAAAGTCTGTTTGCTTTCGAACCGTTTATTCAATCAAGCTAGCTTGCCATCTTCGTTTCGGCTTCATTATCGAGAGGGATTGTCGAACGAAATCACAAGTAGTATGAAAATATGTAGGTCACCGTCGAAACGAGAAACCTTGGCCGGTCGCTCGCGAGGAGCGGGTGCCTTTTTTTTTCTTTTTTTTTTTATTTATTCACATACTTATTTCGCGTTGAAAATAATTCAAATAGCAAGCTTATTTCTTTTCGAGCGTGTACCGTCACGTGTCTCGTACGAAGGAGTGAGATTTACTTCGTTCGTTAACGTTCGCGAAACATCCAGAATAACAATTGACGTGTGATGAAGAGAACGTTGAACAACAGCATTTTTAACGTCTGAGAATTTTAACGGTTTGACACTCGAATCAATAACGTTCTGTCCCTATTTTTTCAAAAATTCTCTACAGGCATTTGCCAAAGAGAACGAAGTTTGAACACACAGGGTACAAGAAATTTCTCTCGGAGGAATTCGACGAACATTTAACGATACGTAACATTCTAATAATCGCCGGCTCTTCAAAGAAATTCCTCACAAACGTTTATTAAATGGAAAGTCCTCGGCACGGCAAAAACAAATCTTTCGCGAAAGAATTCTGGAAGGAACTCCAACGTTCCAACGTGCATTTAACGATACAACATTTCCAACACCATCAGCAACACTTTCTCTTTCCTCGGAGAAATTCTTCGCGAGTCCCAAACATTTGAAAAAAGAAAAAAATTCCAAGAGTCCGATCGTCGTGCAATCGTACAGCAATTCTCACACCTTCCAGCAGGAAGATTCTCGCCAAAAGGAACAACGTCCTTAGAACGTTCCATTGACATTTCAATACCAACGCTCCACGGCCAATCCCTTTACGCGTCGTCGATAATTACCAATTTCCACCGTGAATTCCAGAATCCAGGAATCGTTCATCAGTCACGTGCTAATCGTATTCCTCTAATGAATTCAATCTCCCATTGGCCTTTAAAAAGCTCGACTCGGCGAGCTCGCGGGCAAGCCTCGGACAAGTACTCGGAGGCTTGTTTCGAGTTCGTGTATATCCGGCGAACGGAAATGCCACGGGAACAATGAAATTTCGTGGGATCATCACGCGTCATCGTTCACCATCGATGGGAATTCCATTCGCATATCTTCGCCCCCTCTCCTCGCGGCTTGACGCCATTTTTACGGTCAATATTTCCCCGCTAGACTAGATGTCACCCCTTGCTTGGCCACCCTCACCCCCTCGCCGCGAGTTGCGCCGCCGACCGCGCGATAGCGCCACTGCCATGTTTCCAATTTCCACGAGGGCCGCCTCTGCTTCTCTCCGTCACGTTTCTATCGCGACGGGGGCCGTTTCTCTTGCTCCCGTTTCGCCTCGCCAAGATTCATTAGTCGCCGCTTCTGCTCGCTTCTGTCCGACCTTTTTCTTCTTCTTTTTTTTTTTTTCTCTTTTTCAGACGCGGGCCACACAGCCCGCGTCTCGCGAGCCCCGATCGCCACCGAAGATCGCTCCCGAGGCTTCGAAGCCTCGTGATTGATGAAAAGTAAAAGTGCAGGACGCATTTCGAAACCGGGTCACACTCCGATAGACGATAGACGACCAGACGCGTTACCATGAGAAACGCGAATCGGCAACGTTCGCGACGTTACGTAATTCCGCGCGACGCGAAGAGGCCTTTTCCTCGCGTAGCGGCACAGCGTCGAATTTTTCCCGTTCTTCGAATCACTGGAGTTTCCCCGAGAATCTCTCGTCTCTTGTTTCTTTTTTTTCCATCGGGCACGATTTTTTTTTCTTAGGAAATTTTCGATCACTGATGAAATTACGTGGGAAGAAGGAACTATCGATCGGAGCATAACAATTTTCCATCGGGGACATTAATGTGTGCACAAGGATTTTAAATCTTTAATAATACGTATATAAAGTACGTAAGAGCCAATTATAAATTGGTCATTTTGACCATTCTGGTAGTTTTAATGTTGAAACACATTTTTGAAAGTTAATTGGTAGATTTTTATTTTCGAATTTTTAATAATATTTGACGCGAAAGTATAAAAAGTATGAAGAGGAGGACAAGAAAAATTATTTTAAATCTCTAATAATATACTATTTCACGTATATAAAGTACGTAAGAGCCAATTATAAATTGATCATTTTGACCATTCTGGTAGTTTTAATGTTGAAACAGATTTTTGGAAGTTAATTGGTAGATTTTTATTTTCGAATTTTTAATAATATTTGACGCGAAAGTATAAAAAGTATGGAGAGGAGGACAAGAAAAATTATTTTAAATCTCTAATAATATACTATTTCACGTATATAAAATACGTAAGAGCTAATTATAAATTGATCATTTTGACCATTTTGGCAGTTTTAGTGTTGAAACACATTTTTGGAAGTTAATTGGTAGATTTTTATTTTCGAATTTTTAATAATATTTGATGCGAAAATATAAAAAGCATGGAGAGGAGGACCCAAGAAAAATTATTTTAAATCTCTAATAATATACTATTTCACGTATATAAAGTACGTAAGAGCCAATTATAAATTGATCATTTTGACCATTTTGGCAGTTTTAGTGTTGAAACACATATTTGGAAGTTAATTGGCAGATTTTTATTTTCGGTTTTGTAATAATATTTGACGCGAAAGTATAAAAAGTATGGAGAGAAAGACGTAAGAAAAGTCATTTCAAATCTCTCGCGACACGCTATTTCACGTGTATAAAGTACGTAACAGTCAATTATAAGTTGGTCACTTTGACCATTCTGGCAGTTTATGTACTATAGTTGAATACATGTTTGGAAGTTAATTGGCAGATTATTTGGTAGACATTTATTTTCGGATTTGCAATAATATTGGACAGTAACGACGCGATATACGATAATTTGTGGATTATAATCCTCTCGATGATTCAGCAGCCCTTTTCTTTTTTGCAAGTTAAATTCCGAAATTTCTGGCGTTTAAGAACGCACGGGAAAAACTTTGCTTGAAACTTTTGCCAAAAATTTCTGAAATCTGACAGCAAAGCCCTTGAAACGTGAAAGTACATGTGCGTGATGACAACATTCCTCGATTATTATTGGCAAAGTACTGTACGAATTACAAGGATTAATGAATCGAGAATGACGGCGAATACTATTTTCTGTGAAGATGAAAAACTAACAAACTTCCTTTTTAAGGAATTACAATATTAACGTCAGTTCGTCGAATAATACACTTGGACGTACGTACATATTCGTGTTCCATTTTATTTTAAATTTGGTTAAAGACGAAATATAAACCGAACAAATGACTAATCTAGTTGCACGAGTGATCGAGGAGTTGTGTATTTCAATATTTCGCCGTTGTGTCATTTCGAAAATTGCATCCGATTTTCGCGTTACGTAAAAGAAACGCTTACCGAATCGGTGACGTAACGCGGGTTACTCTATTAGCTTTTCGCGAAAATTAATTCCAGCAACGATGGGACAGTTGAGTGGCATAGTCAGTAGGATACATGTGCGTTCTGACAAATTCCGATTGCGACAGAATTCCTTATCGCTGCCACTCTGGCTCGTTTCTCAATTTCGAATCGCCCCGTTTCGAACGGCAACTCGTTTCTAGAAACTCAAATTTCTCCAATTAAAGCGCCGACAGTGGTCGTTAAACGCGCGGAAATTGAATTCCTTCAATTTTCTACATTTTTACGCTTCTCCAATTTGCCTGGAAAATTGAAAATTCGAGCCGGTGTTTTCTTCTTCTTTTTTTTTTCAATTATTCTTTCACGCAGTTGCTGTAAGCAATTAGCGATGACTCCGAAACGGAAGTGGTAGAGAGTAGAACAACGTTCGAAGGGAAACGTGCGGCGAAACGTCGCTCGATGGCCAAAAAGGGGGTGGTAATATTTTAACGTGACGCAGATAAAACGGGGAACAACCTGTTAGGCTCGGAAACGGTAAGCCTTTTAAAAATAGACGGCGAACCCGTGCGCGGTCTCGCAAAAGGAGAAAGAACCAGTGGCGTGACAGACTCGCCCCGTGACACAATCGATGTTTTTGAAACGGAACGACGGGGGTTGAGTAAAAATACTCCGCAAAGTCGAAGGCAAACAAACAAAGAAAAGGAAAAAAAAAAAGAAAAAAGAGGAAAAAAAAGGAAAATATTAAATTCGCGAGTCTCTCTCTCTCTCTCTCTCTTTTCCCCCGTGGCCACGCACGTTGCGAAAAACTCGCGAGAATAGCTTGTCGCTATTTCCCTGTTCGCCTGTTGGTCATCGAACAATTTCACGCATTCGAACGCGATATTAATCGAGCTCGCGGAGAAGCCGAAGGGTAGGGAGGGAGGTAAGGGGAAGATGGACGGGGTTTCTGGATAAATTTCGATAGTCCTCGAGTGATCGTGGGCGTGCTTGACCTTAACACTGATTGGTCGATATCTTAAAATAGCCCGTCAGACCGGGCATCTGATAACGCCCGGTTTATTTATAAATCTGACTCAACATATTCAGCACGCTCTCGCCCGTGTACACTGTACCTCTCGGCCATGGAATTTCGCCTGTTCCGTTTCCACCGCTGTTCCTCATTGTCCGCCGTAATCGAGTCCCTGGGACCGCCGGGGTGCCGGAACATTTTTATTGATTTATCGACTCGTCCATAACCACAAAACGAAACGAGACAGATAGGCAGATAACGAAACGCGAAATAAAGCGATAGTACAGAGAGAGAGAGAGAGAGAGAGAGAGAGAGAGAGAGAGAGAGAGAGAGGACTGGCGGAGAACACGACAGTCAGAAAACAAACGAACAAACAAACAAACAGGCTGGAAATTGGTATCTGATAAGAAGTCGCGATTCCGTTCGAGCCTCGTCGTACGTTCCTCGTTCGGGGAAGTTCAACCTTGGATCGGTGTTGTGCAGTTTTTTCGTTGGAAATGGCAACCAAGCCAGCCTGCCCTTGGGGAAATTATATTGCCTTC